AAAAAAAAAAAAAAAAAAAAAAGAGATAAAATCATATTTATTTTATTGTCGAGTACTGCATACAAAACACACCCCATGGTGCAAAATTTAAATTCTCTCTCTTTTTAATTTTTTTAATATAGAGAAATTTCATACCCTCTCAGTAAGCAAACAATACTGTTTGATATTTTCAATATTTTCTTAGGAGGAAAAGGGGTTTTGATGGAATAAATTGATTTTATAAGTTTTATATAGTCACCTGATCATATAAAGTTTCAACAGATGTACTTTGCAGAGTATTAGAGTGACTATACTTAGGCGAGGCAGAAGGAAGTTTTTCCTGATCATTAGGTAACTTTTGTACATTGGCAACTTCCCCCGAAGAATTGGTCCTATTGCTCAGCAATGTTTGGTCCTTCTCTATAGTTGAAGGAGGAGGAGGTCCAATGACTTTCGAAACTTTGGGGATGCTAGTTGTCGACCCTGCATCCATAGCATCAGAACTGTCGGGTAAAGATACAGGTGCACCTGAAAGAGCATCAGCACTGGTAGATATTTGTGGTGTACTGTCTACAGGCAACGCCACAGGAGCTGACAATTCAAATAATAAGAACTCCAATGAATTCCCATTTGGAGCATTGAAGATCTTTTCGGCCGCGGGTGATGGAGCGGATGAAGCCGTTTGCTGTACCTCTGGCTCTGCTTTAGAAGGAACCACAGGGTTGGCATCAAAATCAATCAAGCTACTAGAATCTACTGTCTTGTTTTCCTTTGGTTTCTCGTTTTCAGAATTTGGATTAGTAGAATCAGCTGCCTTCTGCTATATATAAACAACCAAAACCTCAAAACATAATTCGTTCAAATTTCAAAAATCAGTGGTATGGTGCAAGAGTTTCAATCTGCTAGAACTTATATCATAATACTGTTCAATAATGTCGTTAAACATCTGCAAAAATTAAAGAACTCACCCGGTCTCGTGCAGAGCCATCAATATCCCTTCCATCATTGGCTTTAGGAGGTTCACCAATTCTCAGAGGCAGAACTTTCTCGCCTAAAATATCTTTGACCGGGCGTATTGCTGGAGAATTTGTCTCCCGAATCATTTGAGAATTGGGCGACATTTTTCCAGTTCTGGATTCTTTACTCGAATACCTATCAAAACGCCTCACACCTCCATCATCGCGATACCTATCATCAACTATCTCAAAGCGAGTAGAAGAACGACCCCTATTATGACTCCCAGATCTCATATTTTCCTGATTGTACCGAGGACTTCTTTGTTCCATGAAATATCTAAAAGTTTTCTCGTTATTCATCACAATTGGACTAAATTTCTCAAGCGACTGCCGTTCGTAAATGTCATCTCCCCCAACATTACCAGCTCTTTCGAAAGAATGCTTCTCATAAGTATCACACTTGGGTTTCTGCAACATCAATAACATCATTATTTAAAAATCTAATGGACATTGTCTGAAAAGTCTAAAATCCTCTATGGTCATAAGCAATACACTAACCGTTCTAACCATTGGAAGCAAACTGTTCTCCTCGGTATACTTCCGATCTACATAAACATGCTTGATAAAATCTCGAATTCGATGAAGATTACTGAAGAACATCATACATAATTATAATACCAATTGTTTCTACATGAAATTGTATCACAGGTAAACCAAAGAATATACTACCTAGCATCAGGGCAAGAATTACGTTGTGGATCCCACACTTTAAAATAAATTTGCCTTGCTCGCTACGAATGACATATAGTTTAACCAGTAAGAAATGTGAGAAGTTTGATCAGAAATGAATTTAAATAAAATAAACAACAGAATTATCACTTTGGATATTAAGAATGAAGACCTCATTTCCCCCAGCTTGAAGAGCATTAACTTCTGCTACACTAAATTTTGCCATCGACACTGATTTTACTCGATGTGCGAATTCTCGACTGCAATTATTCCAGGAAAAAAATCATTAAACATTGAATTATCCCTTTATACATTTGGCTATATTCTTCTGTTATTTACTTCATTAAAAATCGGCATGCTATTTATGCAACTTACTGCACTCCACTACAATTTGTGCATACGAATGTCCAGAAAGTTGTACAAACATATTGTGGACCCTGCTTAACAGAAAAATAAGCAAAAATCAGTGAGGATCTAAAAATATACATGTCTCTCTATCAAGCGAAAAATGTATAATGAAAAAGGGATTATTAATATACATAATTCCAAACACTTATTCAGAATAAGGTTTAGCTTCTTGTTTTATTTCTATGATTCCAAACTATTTTTAAACAATGTTGTGTTCAACAATGGACCAAACGTAACAAGATTCGAAAAATTAGCAAATTTCATATCCTTTATTTTGATCATCTTTGGTTGACAAACCAATGCATATATCTGAAAGCCAAAAACTTTGGAATTGTTATATATCTCTACGTGGTTATAACAAAACATAACTCAAAACTCGAGCATTAATAGAAAAAATAATAAAATGTAACAAAGAGAAACAAAATAAAGAGTGCCCTAATAATTTCACAACCCTTGCATCAAAGAAAAGTTCAGCAGTTAAGCATTGATCTAGACTTGAGGTGTGAAACAAGGCTGGGCTGCCCCTTCTACAATCGGAAAGGCTTGTCCCTGCGGCAATTGATATAGACTAGAGGTGTGAAACCAGACCAGGCTGGCTGGTACATTGGTTGATCTTCCTTTAATGAAGAGATAAAGTCAGTTAAACTTTAGTCATTTTTGATATCTCCTAGAGATAAAAGACCTGAAGAAAATATTTCATGTATAATGCTGCATAATCTCTATTCCTACTTCTGCAACTATAGGTTTCACTTTTACCCAAACCAGGGAGCAGCCAAACTTTCTAAAGGCCTGCCCACCCAAACAAACGCCATCCAAAATAGAGCTAGTTTGACACCTCGAGTTCGGAATGTTAAAGAATCGAGAGTATTATCAATCTTAAATTCTCAAAATTAAAAGCAGTGAGAACCAAAACATACCAAACTGTTGCAGTTGATGCATCTCCTATTCTCTGGAAGCTTCAATAGATCACGAATGATCCTTTCAATTCTCTCTTCTTCATTCACTCGCTGAGGCATTTTATCATCCAATTTAAGCTCTGCTTGCCTTGTAACGTACATACATATAAGAACAACATTAGAATAAAACCCATGAAAATAAGTAAAAAGTTTCACAGAATTGCCATATCCTTCAATAATGAAACTAATCCGACATATTCTTTAAATTATTACAAGGGCATTATCATTAACAACATAGGTTTCAAATAAAATAACCTTACAAAATTGAAATTATTAGAATTAGAAAAAAGGTTTTTAAGTACATTTAAGATTTTTCTTCTTCTGTCCATTACCTTTTTCTTTCTCGAGATCTCTTGGCAATGAATTTCTGCAAATTTTTGGCAGCAGAGGGAGGTTGATTTTCAATTTTTCATGGTGGGGTTTTGAACTTACAGAGAAAAAGTTGTAAGGAAGAGTTTTTGTTGGCTTTTTTGGCTGGGGAAAGAAGATAGGTAGCGAGGGAATGTTGGCGGTTTTGACGGTTGGCGACTGTTATTTTTAGAAAATATGAAGAAATGTGTATAAAAAATGCAATTATAAGATTGAATCAACTATGAACCGCTCGACTTTTAACGGTCCATTGGATTCTCAATTAAACTACAGACTCTCTTTTAAAAAAAAAAAAAAAAAAGAGGAACGAATTCTATCATTTGGAGAGCATCTATAAATTTAGAGAGTTAAAATTTTGAAGTGCTCTAACAAGTTCTTTACATTTAACGCTTAATTTTACGATTCCCAAAAAATATTTATTATTTTTCCCTGTATTTTATTTTAACTAACTTTTCTTTAAATTATTTTATTACTTTTCTGCATTGAAAATTGAAACTCTTTGAATGCATTTAATTATAAATAGTAAATTAAATTGTTAATTTAAAGAATCTCTTAAAGCGAATTAACCTTTTAAAATAAAATCATCTCATTTTTAAAGATTCTTTTGGAAATGCTCTAATTAAAATTGGCTTCTCTAATCCTAGCCTAGTATCTCAGGTTGGGCATACCCTTTATTCTATTTTTCTTCAAATATCTACAAAATTGAGTCTTTAACTTTTTTCTTTTTTAGAACATTCGCTTGTTCAAGAACTCTACTCGAAACTTGATTTCAATTCTTAATATGTGTATCTTAAGCAAACACCACATTAATGTAGGTACTAGTGATAATTTATAAGGAAAATGATAGTCTGTCAGGGTCTGTGCTCTAAAAAGGGGGTCCACACCCATTTTTTAAGGACAAAAAATTTGCCCACCCTCTGATCTGTGAAAATGATCCTGGCAGACTAGCATGACTCAATTTATAATTGCAACAAGTAAATTAGTTTTAACTGTATTTTATAACATTATTGTTTTTGCTAGAGAGTGCTTTATAGTTTTCTTTGCACCAAGTTCTTTCTTACTCTTTGTTTCAACCTTCAGCCATCGATCACTTTTCTGGGCTGCTGGGCATAGGTGGAAGTCATAAAAGGATGCAGCTTTTATGAATTGTGAAGGAAATTTTAATACAAAAGTCAATGAATTAATTGATATAAAAGTAACTATCAAAAAATTATCTCACTGTTCAGTAATTAAAAATATTATTTATTACACAACTATAATAACTGATTCATCCGAGGAATCGGGACTTAGTCAAGTAGAACAGGATTGCAGCAAAAGATTCTAAACCTGCTGTTATATAGTTTACTGGATGAACAGAAGGGCATTGGCTGATTATTGTTTTAGAAAAACAGCTTGTTACGATCCTTCAAAAGATGGCAAATTGGTCGATTTCCTCATCTAAACACACAGTACATTAATGCTCAAAAGGGATTTCTAAGGGAGAGGTTTTTCCAGATGAAGGAAAGCTCCAGAAGTGAAAGGCCTATTGTATTGGAAGGTCATCTCTCGAATTCGAGCACTTCTTCAGTAATTTTTCAATTAGAGCCTGTTTGAAAGTGATTTTGAGAATTGATTTTTTTGACCGTTAGGAGAAAAGTGGAGTCCACCTGTGAGAAAAGAAATCAAATATAACGACCGGAATAGTGAAATAAGGGTCAAAAAATCAATTTTTTGAAAAGAAAAATCACTCCCAAACAGGCCCTTACTCCAAACGGAAATTTTTTTTGTGATCCCAAACCTTTTAATTAGTTGTAGACTATACCCAATCTTTCATTTTTGTACCAATAGTCTCAACCCTTTTATTTTGATTGCAGCTAGAACACAAATCAACGAAATACATCAATTCCTTCATTAGTTCACCAAAATTAAAATTTTGACTCAATCTGACCGATTAAGTGAAGGATAAAATGGCATAATCAGTATTCACTCAATCTGTAGACTTTTGGGGGGAAGTGGAAATAGTGATTTACCCTTCATTTAATTGATCAGATTGAGTCAATTTTAATATTTGAGTCAATTTAACAAAGGAATGGATGGATTCCGTACATCTATCCTCCACCTACAATTTAAATTAAAAGTTTGGAAGTATGGATGCAAAAATGAAAGGGTTGAGTATGGCCTACAACCAACTGAAAGATGTGGGACCTCAATTGAAATTTTCCTAAAATTAAACGTAAAAACTAGCGAACAAGTTCCATATGCTCGTTCATCATTACTAACTTCACGATAACCCCAACTAATCTTTGGATGAAGAATTNCTCAATTTCAAACTCATAAACTGATTCCAAGGGATGTATATTACTTGGGTTCATTACTCTACTAATATGGAACACTAAAACTAAGGTTGAATGGTAGATCAGAGGATAAAAAAAGGCAATAAAATTTCCTGTACAGCGCTTGACAGCAAAAATTCCGCACGCCCTTGTGCTGGCAAAAGTAACCAGAGAAGTTGCATCTGACTGAAAAATTGAAATTGGCTCCTTCCAGAAAAGCAGATAAAAAGGCTAGAAACCAGAACTGCAGGAATAACTGGTTTTGCTGGGGAAAAGCACCATCTGGATTGGCAGAAGCCAACATATGCTGCACTGACTGCTCTAGCTATACTGCTATAGACAAAGATGGGGGTCAAACGTCTCGGAAAAAACAGAGGCCACTCAAAACAGTCGTGCAACTTTGATAAGCTATTTATAATTACATAATCACACCAATCAATTTTAACCACTGCCATTTGAGTTTGAAGCAGCTTTGATTGCATCTGCTGTCGTTAAAGCAACCACTGCTCTGTGGATGGCTAAATCTGCTCTGTAAAGCAATCTCTGGGCCTTCTCCCTCTTGAGTTTAGCCATATTACGCGCATGCTGCGCTGCACCCGACGCATCACGCAATCGGAACTCGTGTAGATCTGAACCGTCCAACTGCTCAACCCCAAGCCTCTGGTGTCCATCAAAATAGTAGTGCTTCTGACTAGACCACTCGGGTATACCCGTGTTCCGCTGTGGAGCCCCATTTGTGTTCCATGTTCTCTTGTTGTAAGAGGCCATTGTGTGCTGAATATTATAAGATGAATATGATCCATGCTTCTTCGGTTTGTTATAAAATTTGGTTTGACGATTCCACTCAGATGCATCGGTGTTCAATAAGAAATTTCCTAGTCCACCAGCATCTCTTGGAGACATTACCCGACTTGAAGCCAATAACAATGGTGAAGCATCAGCGGAATCATATATATTGACTGGATATAACCCCTTCTGATCTCCAAAAGCAAACCCAGTAGATCTTCTCCCTGCCATAACAGGTAAATATTAACAAAGGAGGGAGAAAACTAACTTGTAGCGGGGGACAAAGGATAAAGGGAAAAAAAAATATATTCAAAGAGGTACATCTATTAAAAAATTAAATTTGGACACTGGAAAGAATAGAATGCAACCAGAAGCATGAAGGCCATACTGATCCCCTGAAACAGTATGGTTGTATCCAGAAGCTGGGAATTTCCTGTGGGAACGTTGTTTTGAACCCTTGTTGGGAACATCTAGACCTCGTGGCTTTAGACAAAATGCAAACATAGGTGGTTTCTCAAGAGGGGACAAGTTTTCCTGGAAACCAGCGGAGAGGACAGTGTTGCCTCTGGCCATGGAATGCTCCCACTCTTTCAGCTGCTGCTCATACCTCTCCCAAAGAGGGGGCTGATAATATACAAGATGAAGAAATCTTGCTCAGCAACATCAAAATGATGTAAAGACCACAAAAAAATTGAAATTACCAAAAATCAGAGACAATAACAAATCAAATGCACCGCCATGCTAAATACACTCCCCTACTGAAGTGTCCACGGTACTAGCCATGTACTACTACAAAAGATGTAAATGAATACCTGGAGGTGACGTATTAATGGCATGCCCATTCTCTCCCTCTTCTGTCGCCAATGCTCATAAATGATTTTAGCAGTTTCTTTGGACTCCATCCCAGCCATCAGCTCTTCAAGTTCATCATTTGTGAAGTGAATACGATGTTGGACATATGAAACTCTTTCCAACACGTCGATGGTCTTCTCAAACAATTCATCAGATATCTCTCCATGTCTACTGTCATCGGAGGATAAAGATTTCTTGTTTATCATCAACCACAGCTCATCATCACTATCCATATCATATAAATTACGAGAGGAATCCATCGCCATTTCAACATCAGTTTGAACCTGTTGGAAGTACCGTAAAGGATTCCTAGCAAATGGCACTTGAGGTCCATAAATTTCACTTTCCTCGATAAGTTGGACTCCAGGGATAGGGATGTTCTTCGCAGAAGCAGCCCGAATATTCCTATTGTAGCACTCTTCATGCATATCCTTGAAAAGCATCCATTGGCTCCTGTCAGGAAACTCCAGTACCCAGTCCTTTCCCCCTTTCCACATCATAGCATGTGTGTAGCGGTTAGTTGACCCAGACTGCAAAATATGTTGAACTTTAAATGAATATTTTGTAATTCCAGAAAATTTAATAGCCAATCTCCATTCATTATGATCTGAAAGTTCTAAGACAACTTGTGCTCCATATTCTCTCCAACATTTGTCCCCAAGGGTGACTAAAACATTTGCACCACACGCTAAGAACTCCAGATTTCTTCGAGAACTCCTAGAACCATCAGACACTCTCTTCTCATTAGCTCTCCTAATCCTTTTGCAAGGTAGAACTTTCTGGTTATGGGTTTTCTGCTTCGCACTTACATCATAATTTCCGAAAGGCAATGTGTATTGAACTTGAGTACGTGGCTTCTTTGGCCCATTACTGAATCCATTGGTCATAAAGTTCCCCTTCCCTTCATGCCAGACAGGTGACAGATCTTCAGAAGGTGCAGCAGTGGGATTCGGGCTGTGGACAAGACCATCATTCATATTCCAACTTACATCAGAAATCTGTCGGGATATATGTCCTCTCTGACCAAACAGTGAATCAAATTGGACAAGGGACGGAACTTCCACACTCATGCCACTCAACCCATAATCACATCCAGGACTGGAGATTGGAGATGTGATGGACTGGGGTGCAATTACAACACACTGCTCATGCATCTGCTTATTCGATTCACACTCAGGTGATTGAACTAGAAGCTCAGTTACATTCTTTTCGAAACCTTTGGAACAACCAGTAGTTTCAGAGCTGTCTGACTTCTCCTTGTGAAGAACCACAAACGAGTCAGATTTATCAAAAACATTGCTTATGGAGACATCTTTCCCTGACTCTTGTTCAGAATTAGACAACAATACAGAAGCGGGAGCTCTGGTCAACAATGTTCCTACATTATTATGTTTAGCAATTTTATCTTGAACATTCACCAGGCAGGACTCAATATGAGTGCAGTCATCTGTAGTAGGTTGGCAAGAAATTTCTGGAGTTTTCAGTGTGCACACTATGCCATGATCCTGAAGGTTGACGCAAGCAAAATTGTGATCCACGAGCAGCTTGAGGTGCAGTGTTGTGAAGAAGGCAGGTGCAGCAGTAAATGAAAAGGCAAATGTTTGAAGCTCTGCAAGCTTTGAAGCCAAATTAAAAACAGCCTGGTTCATCCTTATCTTGCAGGATTCTCTAGAAACACCCATAGGCAGAATGCCAAGCACATCTTTCTTCTTTAAACCCTAATCAACAAGAGAAATCCGAAGTGAGTACCAACAAGAAGCAGAACTTAGTAAGCAAAATTGCTTGTACTCTCAAACTTTGACACAAAAGAGAAGAAGTGTATAACACTGATACAGCATAATAATTAATAACAAACTAAGCCTTGTTCGAACAAATTGTTGGCTACACAATTTTTTATCGCCCCTCCTTTCGTATCATTTTTAGATCTACCGGATGATCTACAGCATCTAACATAGATCTTTGACAACTATAATAGGCCATGTTAGAAAACAACGCATTGCTTTTGTGTGGAGCCAAAAGAATCTGTGCCGATGTTTAAAAAAGCAGAACTAGGCACTGACGCTTTTTTTTT